GTTTCAGATTGGTTTGGAACTTGATGAAGAACGGTGACCTTGATCTCCTGGTCCCTCTTGCCTCTGCCTCCCAACAGGCTGACCAAGCACTCAGCCAACTGCACTACACTCCCAGCTCCAACAGTTTGTAAACTTTGGTTTATTGACTTCCGGTCCGTCTCTGCGCATCTTTTAGCTTTACCATAAGGTCAACTGTGCTGTACGGACAAGCATACGCCCATCACGCTTGCTTACAGTTGTACCCCCGGGCCCCACACAATGTGTAACCGGTATTTACTCGGCGAATGAATGGAAACTCAAAAGCATGTCTTCAAGGATTGGAAGGCTCACTGACAACGAGAGAAAGACTCCCCAGTTTGGACCATCCCCAAGGGGGACACGGAGCTGTGCCAAGAGCTCCGTTAGGGAGTTAAGAGAATTGGCCTCTGGTCCTCCTTGCCGCCCAACTGGAGAGTCACTCTCTGTCTTCCAGAGTGTTTCCCCAGAGCGTGGGAGACCAGAGCGCACAGGGCTTTCCCCAGTAGATGCTGACCTTCAGGGAACTCCTGCCAGATGGGGAGTGTGGGGATTTGGGGATAATTCAGGCACTTAATTAATGAAGAGGAAGGAGAAGATAAAGGCAGGGAGGGACTCAATCCTGGAAAAGTCACACCGGCTGGGCAGCTGCTCCAGCCGCTCCATTCCCTGCACGCCCCGCTAGTTCCCGCCGGCCGCCACTGACTTTCTGACTTCTTAACTTGTCAGCAAATCCCAGAGTTAAAAATGCACACGCACCCCGGCCAGCCGCCAGCAGGCCCGTCTGGCCGCGGCTCCAGATGTGGGGCCACCGCGCGGGCCGCCCGCCCCGCCGCGCAGACTAAACAATCGGCCTTGGCCGTGAGCGCAGCGCAATTCCAGATGCCGCGTCGCCCGCGCCGCGCGCTAATTGGGCCGCGGGCGCGAGGCTCTGTCAGCGCCAGCAAGGCCCTGCCCCGGGCGGCCTTGGCACGACGCCGGCCCGCTGGGCTACCTAGGCGGGGTGGGGAGACTGAATAAAATGAGGGGGGGAAGTAATAGAGGTAGAAAGACTGGGGCAAGCAGACACAGACAGACAGACAGACAGACACACACACACACACACACACTCACTCTGCTCGGAGGCACACGGACAAACACAGGAAGGATCAGAGAAGTCCTAAAACAGATGTAGCTACAGAGCCAGGGAGGAGCAGAAACCTAGGTGGAGGCAGGGCGGGGAGACCCAGAGCTGGGGAGACAGCGAGGCCGGCAGAATGACACCAAGACCACAGATGGGCAGCACCGTGGCGGCCAGCGCGGCGACCTTGATAGGTGTCCTCTTCCCACTTCTCACCTTTCTAGAATTTTCAGGGTCTGGCAAAGCCCGGGACTGAGTCTGTCCACCAAGGCAGTGACCTAGGCCTCTCTGGCTGGTGGAAGACCCTTGTCCCCACACGAACCTGAAATGTGGATATTTCACACCCAAACACGAGCTTGAGACACAAATTCACCTTGGACATTGTGCTGGTGAGACTCTCCTCTGAGGCAGAGGGATGTCCCAAATGACTCCTGCTCACCACCCCCTAGGCAGCCGCACTGGCAGCCCCTTTCCCCTGTGCTGGGGAGGGTGGTGTCCCACCGGTTCCGGGAGATGACCTGCTAGTGGAGGCCCAGGGCAGGGAAGCCCAGTGGGGACCACCCATGGGAGCGGGAGCCAGGCGTTCCGCCCCCGCTGAAGGCCCTGGCAGCCCAGGGGCGAGCGCCGAGGGCAGTGCGGCGGCCGGGGCGGCTCTTGGAGGCCCCTCTCTGACAATCTTTCCTTTGTTTGTTTTCTTAAATCTGGGAGGCCCAAATTCCTGCCGGATTCCGTAGGTTTCACTCAGGAAGGAGGCGCCCCCATCCCCCTCACTCTGGGCCGGGGCTGAGCCCGGGGAATGGCAGGTTCTTCCCGGAGGAAGGAGGCAGGCAGCCCTGCGGCCCGGGCAGCACGAATCCCGGGCGCTCTGCCCGCGCGTGCCACCACGCAGCCCCAACCGAGGTCAGGGGACATTTAAGGGGTGGGGAGCAAGATCGCTTAAACACACACACACACACACACACACACGTTACTCCTTCCCAGACTCATCCCACAGCCGTCCACCTTCTGTCCCTCCCTCCCTCCTCCCTTCCCTGCCCCCTCTCTCATTTTGGTCTCCAAACTAGAGCCTCATTAATTTCCAAAAAAAATTTCCCCCAATAAAAGGCAAACATGGAAAGAAAAACAAACTATTAGAAAACAGAGGAGGGCGGAAATGTTATTTAAAAGGTTACCAGACCACATCATTTTCCAGTGATATTATATACTCCCAGCAGTATCCAAAATATATATGGGATATGGGCCAAGAATGAAAAAAAAAAACATAAAAACCCTTCACTTAGACACAACATCTGGACCGGAGAGCGAACAAACCCTCCATTTATCACACTTAATCCTCCATAGAAGCAATCCACGGCTGACTTCTGTTTTGCTAATTTAGCTGCTTTCAAGCGCCCGCCCAGTCCAGACTGGGAACTCGGTGTCACTTGTGGAGCGCCCAGCCCTGCCCTGCCCCCGACCGCGTCAGCTCCCTCCCGCAGCGGGGCCTCCGCCGAGGGGAGGGGAAGAGGCCGTTAACGAAGAACGACGTTTTATAAATTCTCTTGTCTCCCGCCCACTCAGGTCAGTGAAATAAATCCTCGCCTCTGCCCGTGTTCTGTCCTATCCCTCAGCACCCGGACACCCACTTCCTCGCGGACCACACCCCTTCCTCTCCTGCGCAGGCTCGCTGGAGCAATGGCCAGGCCGCCTGTCTAAAAGCCAGCCCGGTCAGCTCGTCACCCATCCATCCGAGCGTTGCCAGCTACCTGTCTGGCAGAGCCTGCTGGCCTGGCAGCTGGGCCCTTGGGCCAGCTGGGAGAGGGCAGGGGAGGGTCGTGTGCTTGGAGGTGGGAGCCTCTGTTCCTGGAAGTGAACGAGAGGTCTTGAGGTGGCTGCCCCGGGCCCGCAGCTGGGTGTAGAGACAATGGGAACTTGTGAGAGTGCCAGCCAGAGAGACTAAATCAGTGCGAGTGTATCATTTGGGGATTAGTCAATGACTCGCTGGAACCCTGGCCCAGTGGGGCTGGAGCCAGAGGTAGGGCTGGCCTCAGCGCAGACCTCTTTCCTGCCCCGGGAGCCTCTCTCCCCTAAGGCCTCCTGGGTCGTTCCCACTCTCCCAGCCCTACTTCCCAACTGTACACAGACTCAATTTTGGAGCTCAAGACGGAGCCTTCTGGTGTGCCCTTCCCCGGGGCTGGAAGTGTGGAGCAGTGACAGTGGCTGGCACCTGCTGAGAGTCGTCAAAGGATGCCTGCCAACTCCCGCTGCCCGCCCCAGCCTCTCCGGTCCCGGCAGAGCTCCGACGCATAACCTGCACTCCTGAATGGACTCTTCCATACACCCCGGAACTCCAGCCCCTCAAGGCACTGTGGCCCGAGCCTTTAAGATTTATTCTTATTTTTAATTAGGTGGTGTGTGGGGAAGGGGAGGAGGGGGTGTGTGCACTGCACATTGTGCATGTGAGCGGGCTCTTGCTGTCCAGAGGACCCCGGTTCAGTTCCCAGCACACAGCTCCTGATCACCTGTAACTCCAAGGGATCTGACGCCCTCTTCTGGCATCTGGGGGCTCCTGCACTCATGTGCACACATCCATGTGTATATTCACAGAATTAAAAATGAATCTTTGAAAGAGAGACAGAGATGGGGACTAGGCAAAAGAGAAAGCCAGTCGAGCCTGCCTTGCAGTGACACCACTGTGAATGTGACCATAGGCCTGTCGGCAGGCCTGATGTAGGCCTTACTAACTCCTGCGTCTCTGGGAGACAGACAAGGCCCCTTTTTACAGCTCAGCAAAAAGCTAGGGAACGTCTTCTGGCCCAAGCCCCCCATTCCGTGACCTTAAACCCCCGTGTGTCTTTGGGCACGATGTGCTCCCCTCTGGGCCTGGAACTGCTGGTAGGCAAAAGGAGCTGGGCGGACACACCTCTGCGTCTGTGCAATGGCTGTGCATCTGTCCCCATGCCCTCCCCCACGGGACCCCTCGTCTCGTCTCTCCTTGGGTTCCTCTCTAATTCCTCTGCCTCTGGCTTTTCTCTGAGAGGGGGCCCTTTCTCTCTTATGCCACAGTTCTTTGTGAGGGATGGACGGTGTGTGGACAGACGGCATCCTGAACTTCCACACTGCAGTGCACCCAGAAACACGGCCTGGCTTGAGGAGCTGGCCCTCTCCATCTGCCTGCTTAGGGGAGGGTCTGCCTCCAAAGGCCTTCCTGGTGCCCCGACCTTTGACCTTTGACCTCTGGCACAGTGTGAGAATGGCATCCCAGCTGGACCACGAGAGTGCCTTATATGGGTTTTCTGTCCCGAGAGAGCAGTGGACTCTGCCTTCTCACGCTCCCCATCCCAGGCTCAGGCAAGGGGACAAGAAAGGAAACCCTCTCTCTGAGCCCGCTGAGCTCGGCCACCACCTCCCTGGCAATGCCACCTGCACTCCAGAACCTTCCAGAGCCTCTTCTTAAAGGCCCAGATGCCTGGAGGTTGTTACTGTGACCAGTGTGTCCCTTATTCCTGACAGCCATGTCTGGAGATCTATTGGGCAGCTTGCTGGAGGAGAGTCTGGGCAAAAACAAAGACCGAGGGTGTCCTCAAGGGCATGCGGATAGCAAGCCCGGGGCTCCTGGCGGAGTTTGGCAACGCCCGAGCATGCATGCATGGGCCTGCTTGGAGTGGCACCTGAGAAGAGGCCAGCTCCCGGGGCAGGTAAACAGGATGCTGTGTGCTGGGCGTGGTGGCGGGGGAGGGGGCGCGAGGCCACAATAGGCCATTGTACTTAGGAGTCACCTTCAGTCCTGGATGCTGGGTTTCCTCTATGCTCAGCACCTCCAGCTGGGCTGTGCAAATATTAAGACATATGGAAGGTGTGGTCATAGGCGGAGGCTGTGGGGAAGGTGACAGTCACCTGGACTTGGACCCTTCTGCCCTGAAACAGACACAGCCGACTGAAGGCTGTGCTGGGTGCTAAATGGTTCAGCCAGGAGGGGACAAACGAGGGTGCCTTTGGCTTCTGTGTTTGACAAGGCTCCTACTGAGCAGGTGACAAAGTCCTGGCCTCACTCGGGCCACCAGCCAGCGGTGTCTGCCCTACCCCTCAGGGTACACCTCTGCACAGTGGAATGAGAGGAAAGAGGGACCCTCCCCTTTCCAGCCCTCGGTGTGTGAAGTACAGGAACAGAGCAGAGCCAGATGACCTCGCTTGGGCGTGTTTAGCTGTGAGTCCTCTTTGCCGGACAGGTCAGAGGTGAACAAAGCTACTCTACGTGAGGGATGAAGGAGACCCCAGGACAGGACACCTTTCATTCCTTTGTTTGTTTGATCTTTCTTTATTTCCATCTTTCTTACTTTATTTTATTTATTTTTTTTACTTATTTACTTTTGATTTTTCGAGACAGGGTTTCTCTGTGTAACAGTCTTAACTGTCTTGGAACTCATTTTGTAGACTAGGCTGACTTTGAACTTACAGAGATCCTCCTGCCTTTGCCTCCTGAGCGCTGGGATTAAAGGCATGTGCCACCACTGCCTAGTATATTTTTGTCTCTTAGGACTTTGAGACTCTAGCCTTGAAAAATGAGCAATATGTGAGGACTGGAGAGATGTCTCTGCAGCTAAGAGCACTGGCTGCTCTTGTAGTGAGCTCACTTCTGGGTATCTGGATGGTAGCTTACAGCCACGAGTTGCGCCAACGCCAGGGACTCTGATGCCCTCTTCTGGCCACTGTGGAGGGTGCTTGTACACAGTGCACATACACACATGCAGGCACTCACACATACACATTTTTTTTTAAATGAGTAAGGTTGTGGGCTGTGTTTCTGCCTGTGGGTGCCTCCCAGTGTGGAGGAGGTCCTGACCACACACACACACACACACACACACACACACACACACACACACACACACAGCATTAGTATACCATAAAAGTTAATCTTTTATTCGGTACTTACTATGAGTTGGGAATGATTTCAAGCACTTTATTTTTTAACATTTTTATTATTATTTATGTGTGTGTGTGCGTGCGTGCATGCGTGTGTGTGTGTGTGTGTGTGTGTGTGTGTGTGTGTGTGCAGGCATGCAGAGGTCAGATGTGTGGGATCCCAGAGATTGAGCTACAGGCAGTTGTGAGCTGCCTGATCTTCTCCAAGAGAAGTGTGTGCTCTTAACCAGTACACCATCTCGCTAACTCCAGGTTCACGTACTTCATGTTCGTTCACTCTGGTAACCCTTTTCCATTAGAGGAAGAAATGGAAGTCCAGAGAAGGTAAGTACATTGCCTGAAGTCACACAGCTAGTGACAGTGCCGGAATTGGCTCTGCCTGCTGCGGCCTGGGCTCTCGGGGCACCGTGTACAGCTTGCATGAGCCTGTGCTAAGTAGGCAGAAGCCAGGGAAGAGAAGGCCAGTGGCGCTCTGAGCAAGCAGAGAGGTACAGGATGCGCTGCTGCCCGGCTTCCCGTACAGGACACGGTGACACTGGCTCACAGCTGGCCGGTTCTGCAGTCTCTTAGGAGTGGGGGTAGGCGCTGGGGGCCACACCCGGTCGTAGGAGCCTGCAACCACGATTATTCTTCTGGCCGGAAGAACCAGAGTTCAAGGCCTGCCTTTCCAATTTAGGGAGACCCTGTCTCAAAGCACAGGGTAAAAAGAGGGTTGGGAATATAGCCTACGCATGTGTGAGCCCTAATTTCTGTCCTACTACTTGGGAGGCTGTGACAGGAAGGTTGCTGAAGCTTGGAGGCCATCTTGGGCTATGTAGTAGATTGCAGGCTAGCCTGAAGGACAGTGTAAGATTCCCTTCAAAACAACCCTCCCCTCTCTCTGCTGAGTCGTCTTTCCTTACGGATGGTGGAGGGCCACTTAGGACAGGGCTTCAGTCTGCCTATCTGCCTGAGGTTCTTTCCAGCCCGAAGCTTGTCATAGAGATCATCAAGGAGTCACAGCAGCTGACATCTGCCCCAAGGTAACTTCCATCTCCCGAACCCCAAAGCCTGTGGGTCTCCCGTGTACCAGGAGACAAGTGATACAAAGTAGGAATGATCATGCTGGGGTACATGTTCATGGAGCAATCATGGTGACCCACATCAAAGGAGAAGGAAGGTGAACATGAGTAGTAATGGTACCAGAACATCCAATAATCAGAAAGGATAGGTGTGTGTGTGTATGTATGTGTGTGTGCGCGTGTGCACACACACATACACGAATATGGCTATCAGAAGACAAGTCATGGGGGTCAGTTTTCCTCTTCCACTTAGTAGGTCATCAAAGCAAAAGAGTGTGGCTGTTGGAGAGGGAGACTCGGGGCCTGAAGGTCATGGGGAAGGTCAAGGGCCACGGGATCTGCGAGCCTGGTCTGGTGTCAAGCACTGAGGGAGGTGTCGGGAAGGGGCGGGAGTCAGAGCTTTCGAGTTGTTTTTGAGCTGGGCTGGGGGTGTTTAATATTAATAGTAATGACTGTGGCGGGAAGATAATAGGCCTTAGTCAGATTAGAAGGGTAAGCGCTTATCGTGGCTGCCGAGACAAGTCCTTCACCTGCTCCTTTAATACCCCTCTTTCATTCCCCCACCCGCCCCCTCCCACCAGCCCAGAACAAAAGCTGTATTATAGGCCAGGGTGTTTTCAGGCTGCAGCCCCTGAGCCCTCCCCCTCCTCCTCCGCCCTACCCCCCCTTAGTGTGAATGAAGCTTTTTCCTCCCGCAGGAGATTAGCTCAGTTTGACAAGGCAGTGAACTTTGGGAGGGGTAAGTGGGGGTCTCCAGAGAGCAGCCATGATGAACTGAGTGAATACTGCCAGGAAGAGACCCCGAGAGAACCCTAAAGACAGATACAGGGAGCCATGACAGACAGACAGACAGACAGACAGACAGACAGAGGCAGAAGGAGCTTCAAGGTAGACCCTGAGACTGAAACACACACACACACACACACACACACACTCACATACACACCACACACACACAGTCACATACACACACTCACACTATGCATACACACACACTCACACTATGCATACACACACATTCACATACACTATGCATACACACACCACATGCACACACATGTGCATGCATACACACACACCACACTTACACAAACACACATAAACACGCACAGGTATGCACACACACACCTACATGCATACATCAGAATGTTGGGCAGTGAGAGAAGCGGTAGCTGGGGCTCACTCACAGGGAGACACAGACAAACCACAAAGCAGGGAGAGAGAGAGAGACAGAGACAGAGACAGAGAGACAGAGAGACAGAGAGACAGAGAGACAGAGAGACAGAGAGAGAGAGAGAGAGAGAGAGAGAGAGAGAAGACTCATATACACCGCTGCCACTAAACAGACGGACCCAAGGAGAAACAGAAGCAGACATCATCAGAAATGAGGAGGGCAGATGATTTAAGAACCAGATGCCCAATAGATCCACACACAGATAAGAGAAAAGGAACCCCAGGGAGCAGAGGCAACCGAGGAGACAGACTGAGGGAATATTGCAGGACGGCTCCTCGGCCTGCCCTTGACCCGCCAGGGTCTGCCTCTGTTGACTCTGGCCTTGGTCCTCACAGACAGCGTGGCTTTGAGGACTGAGGTGTAAAAGGCCATGGGGAGCCAAGGCCAGATTGGGAAACTGTCCTAGAGTAAGTCAGAAGAGAAAATACCTTGGCCAATTGTGTGTTACTTGGCGAAGTGGCCCCCTCTGGGGAGGCTGTCCAATGGGCATACGCAGGCGGTTGTGACATGCAGGGGCCTGGACCCTAGGGATCCCCTTTGGAGATACATGTAAAGGAGGCAGCAGCTCAGCTGATAGAATGATTGCCTTGGGCTCAGTTCCCAGCACTGCCTAAAACTGGGCGTGGTTTATAAGGCCAGCCCGTGTGACGTGAAGTCAGGGGGTTTGAGTGAGAAAGTCCCCACAGGCTCATGCATTTGAACACTTAGTTCCCAACTGTGGCCTTCCTGGAGGAAGTGTATCCCTGAGTGGGCTTTGGGAGTCAGAAGCCTGTGCAGTTTTTATAGTTCTCTCTGCTTTGTGTTTGCCGTCCAAAACAGGAGCTCGCAGCGTCCTTCCCCAACCACCATGCCTGCTGCTTGCTGCCCAGCTTCCTCGCCATGCTGGACTCTTACCCCTGGAGCCATCAGCCAAGCAAACTTCGTCCTTTACATTATGGTAGTCACTGCAACAGAAAAGGTTCATAAGTTCGAGGTCATCCTTTGCCACATACAGCATTTGAGGACAGATTAAGGTATGAGACTTGTCTCAAAATGCAACAAGCAACGGGGCCGAAAAGATGCCTCAGTGGTTAAGAGCACTGGCTGCTCTTTCAGAGGACCAGGCTTCAATTCCCAGTAACCACATGGAGGCTCACAACTGTCTGTAACTCCAGTTCTAGGGGGCCCAACACCCTCACACAGACACACATGCAGGCAAAACACCCATGCACATAAAATAAAAGTAAATAATAAAAAAGGAAACAAGTAACAGTAGCAAAAGACTCCTTGCTGTTTGTGGCTGGGTGTGGAGAAGAGACAACACCCATTTCCACAAGTAAGGTCCCCACCCTTGTCCCTGTGCCCAAATACTTCAGTGATGCCACATAATGAGAGAGCTGGGCTGCCTGGTGCAAATCCCAACTTCACTACCAGTTGTCATCAGATGGGGGACCTATTACATCTCCTTGTGGTCTCCCATCTGTAGAGTGGGACTAGCCACAGCATCTCCCTTGAGGATAATTTCAAAACTGAGCTTGGTACCATCAAGAACTGGAGGCCTTTTTATAATTCTGAGGCCCTGTCCAAAGTGTCTCCACGTATAATTTTATCTCAGCGCGCCCGTGCATTCATAGACTATTCAGTGCACACTGGAGCTATGGTTGGAGCCGGTAGCTGGGGCTCTCCCTGTCTGTAAGCCATACGGTCCCAGCTCCACAGTTCAGAAGGCATGCCCAGCCTTTGCGGGGAGAGCTCATTTCTAGGCCTCTTCAGGGGCTGTGTGTGTTGCTGGCGGAGAGCAGATGAGGCAGTGGTGGGTTGGAACGTGACCAGAAGCTGGCTCCTAGGAGGAAGTCGTCATTTGTCAATCTCCATGCTGTCCGTATTCTCTCCACTGGGGATTTCAAGCTACCAATGTGGCGTTTGCTAGTCTTGGGGTTGGAAAATGGTGCCTACGTCACACAAATGGGCTCATTTGGTGAGGTCTGTCTCTAAACTTCCTTTTTTACCTTGGAGCTTCCAGCCTCGTCCAGGAGAAATGAGGGCATCTCGGTGCCAAGGCTGGTGCTGGATAGGCACCCGTGCAAGCTAGGAAGCAAGCGTGGCGGCTCACGTCTTGCAATTCAGCTAGGAGGGCCGGGAGTTTAAGGCCAGCCTGGACCACTTGAGACCCTAATCTCAAAACCTCAAACCAAGAAACTCAAGCAACAACAATAAGAAGCTTTAAAAAAGTAGGGAAGAAGAGCTCCTGGGACGCAGAGGCAGGGAACCCCACAAGTTTGAGGCCAGCCTGGGCTATATAGGGAGTTCCAGGCCGCCAGGAACAACACGAGGTTATCCTAAAGGTGGGAAGATGACAGAGAGGAGGCTCTCTGGGAAAAGGTGCTTGTGGCACAAGTCTGCTGACCTGAGTTCCATCCTCGGAACCCACGTAAGCCTACAGAACTGATTCCACAAAGTTGTCCTCTGCTGTCCACATGTGCACCCCAGCATGAATGCCCCCCTCTTCCTAGCAATAATAGCATTTTCTTTTTGGTTTTTCGAGGCAGGGTTTCTCAGTAGCTATGGAGCCAGTCCTGGAACTGGCTCTGCAGACCAGGCAGGCAGAGATCCTTCTGCCTCTGCCTTCCGAGTGCTAGTATTCAAGGCCTGGGCCACCATCACCTGGCATAAATATTTTTTTGAGACAGGGTGTCACTATGTAATTCTGACTGGTTTAGAAGTCACTACATAGACTAGGCTCGCCTGGAACTTACAGATACCCTCCTGCCTCTGCTTCCTGACTGCTGGGATGAAAGGTGTGCAGGGAGATTCTTGCTCCAGAGGACAGGACGGGGGTCAGGGATGCTGGTGGAGGGGAACTGACTGTTCTTTAAAAGAAGCATTGCTCTGGTTTCCTGAGGGCTGGGTGTGGTTGTGGGAGGAGAGAGGTCACACTTGGTTCTGGCATGTTAGCCTGAGTAACTCAAAGACTGCACTTCCTTCCAGAGTGAAGTAAGAAAACTGTAGAAGGAACAGGTCAGAATAGAAGCAGGAAGTGGTTGGTTACCAGGTCCAGTGAGCACTAGGGACTATGGCCACCAGGGCCATCATGAGGTTGAGCCTGTGTGTGTCTCGAATGGTGAGCCGTGGGAGTTGGCACCGATTGTGATTATGACTATAAAGACCAGAGAAGTGGTTCAGTGTGTACAATGCTCACCTTCTGTGCACAAACGCCTGGATTGGATTCCCTGCATAATATAAACCAGGCATGACAGAGCACAGCTATACTCTCAGCACTTTAAGTGGAGGCAGGAGGATGCAAAGACCATCCTCAGCTACATGGTAAGTTTGAGGCTAGCCCAGGATCCAGGAGATCTTATGTCCCCCACCCTCCACCCCCAAGAAAATACCGTCACCACAAACCATCTCTTTAAATGTGATTTATCTTGTTGACTAAGGTTATGGTTCTCCACTCCCGTTAAGTATCTTGTTGGGGTCAGGGCCCTGCCTGTTCCTGATGCCCATGGCTCTCAGCTGTTCTCTCTGTGCAGACTTGAGCTAACAGAGACAGGAGCTGAGGAGAGACCACTCAGTGGGAGCCCCCCAGAAGAAAACGTGGGAAGCAGAAGTGCCTATGTTGGCACGCCGCTGGTTGACCAGAAGTACCAGGAGAGTGCACCCCCACCAGCCCCAGCCCACCTGCCCATGATGGATGGCGTCTGTCTGCTGCTTTATTAAACTCACGCCAAGGTTCAGCCCTGGATTTGCAAACAGCTTAATAAGCATTTGGAAGGGATGGGGAGGCAGAAGCCTGGATTTCAAGGGGGTTACCAAGACCCAGACAGGAAGTAGCTTTTGCCCTGAATGAGCTCCAGAAGGGAGTCAGGTGCCCCGATGGTTGAGCGGTGGGGGAGGGAGGGTTTGGTTTCCCAGAGGCGCTTATGGCCCAGAGACGAGGACATTTGCTGCAAGCCCTCTCTGGCACCTCTGGTCACATACCAGGGAATGTCCTGGTCACTGCTGGGCACACAGTTAGGCTGCAGGAGAGTGGGTGACAAGAGACTGTCCCTGTTATCTGGGGTTCTGAGCTGAAGAGGAACGAGGACACAACACAGGTCTACCCTCCAACTGCCATCCTCCACATCTCCCACGTGCGTGCGTGCGTGCGTGCGTGCGTGCGTGTGTGTGTGTGTGTGTGTGTGAGCTGAAGAGGAACGAGGACACAAAACAGGTCTACCCTCCAACTGGTGTCCTCCATGTCTCCCGCGTGCGTGCGTGCGTGCGTGCGTGCGTGCGTGTGTGTGTGTGTGTGTGTGTGTGTGTGTGTGTGTGTGTGTGTGGTGCGCATGCCCATATGCATTCTAGTGCCCAAGGCCGGAGGTCCCTGTCAGGTGTCTGCCTCAGTGAATTTTCAGCTTACTTTGTGAGGCAGGATCTTTCACTGAACCTGGAGCTTCAGTTAGGCTCGACTGGGCAGCCAGCCATCCCCCAGGATCCACCTGTCTCCACTTCCTCAGTGCTGGGATTTTTGTCATCCAAAGAGCCCAGCTTTTGTCCTGGGCATCCAAACTCTGCTTCTCATGCTTATGCAGCAGTCAGTTTACCTGACTAAGAGAGAAAGAAAAGCAGGAGTCAGGTCAGGGGCCTTCGAAGACTCACCAGTGTCGTGTGTAGCCCAAGCTGGCCTTGGGCTTGACATGTAGCCAAGGGTAGCTTTAAGCTCCCAGGCCTCCTGTCTCAGCTCCCCGGTGCTGGTGTTACCGGTGCATGGTGTGAAGTCTGCCTCCTTCTAACAATTTAGTGTCTTTGTGACTGGGAGATGGCTCAGTCTGTGAGATTCTTGCCACATAAAAACCAGGCCTAGAGTCTGATGTACAGTACCGCATAAATTGTAACCCCAGGACTAGGGAGGCACGGTGGGATTCCTGGGCCCCACTGGCCAGACAGTCTATATAAACTAAACCGGTGCAGCCCAGGGAGAGACCCTGTGTAGAAACAGACAAACAGCAAGGTTGAGCGGGCCAGGGAAAAGGCTCGGGGGTAAAGGGGCTGGCTGCACAAGCCTGGTGACTGTGAACTCAAGTAAAGATGGAAGGGAGAGCTGACGCCACAAAGATGTTCTCTGACCTCCCTGCGCCCCCACCACGTCCACACAGACACAGTGAACATCTAAGAAATAAACCGAGCAGGTGGAAGAGAGCCTGAGGCTGACCTCCGGCTGGCATACGAGCCCCTCCACACACACGCACACACACACACAAGAATTTAGTGCTCTGACAGCTTAGTGTGGTCTGTGGATTCACTGCCTGGGCTCAGCTCCCGGGACCATCGCTCTCCAGATGGACAGACAGATGATCTTGGTCTCTCTTGCCCCGGCGGTGAAATGGGAACAGTTATTTTCTCTACCTCACAAGGTTGCCAGGATGGTTACCTGAGAGAAGGAATTTGTCCTGTGCAAGTGGCTTAGAAAGTACCTGGAACGTTCCGTGTTAGCTGGCTCATGACCACCCGTGGCAGAACAGAGAATTCTAGAATGCTATAGTTGGCAGTTTGCATTTTACCAGTTTCGTGTATTTATGAATAATACCAGTGGCAAACCCTTTTCCCCCAGGAAATAAAATGGCCGACAGGAAGCTAGAGGAGGCCCCACTCCCAGTGTACTGGCTCGGCCCCTCCACAGGGCTCCCACCGTGTCCTTTGCACTCGGCTCCCCTCTGGTGAAGACTCTGGTCCTGGTCCTCCCTGCCCGTGTCCCCTGAGTCTGGGCTGCTGATCCTGGCCTGGGCCAGAGCTTCTCTTGCCCAGTTGCAGGAGCCAGGCGCGGGAGCCCCAGCTCGGAGTAGAGCTGGGCTGGGGGCCAGCAGCACATCGCACATCTGGCATCCATTACCAACGGTGGCTGCCGAGCGGAGTCCTCTGCCTGCCACTCACCTATCTGCTGGGGTGACAGAGGAGATGGGGAAAAGGTTTTCACAGCTGGAATAAATTGAGGGGAAGTAGAGGGGGAGGGTAGAAAAGAGACAAAAAACAACATTGAACTCAAGACCGAAAGAAAAGACAGTGTTTGAGGAGGTAATGAGGAAAATATGTGTGTGCTCATGCTGCACCCGGTGTACATGTGCATATGTGTCTGGGGAAGGTGTGAGTGTGTGTCATGTTTGCAGATCAATGTGTCTGAAAAAGTACGAATGCAAGTAGATTTGTTTATGTGTCTGTGGGGTACTTACGAGCATGAGCACCTGTGTATTTGTGTGTGTGTGCAGTAAGTGTATGTTTGTGTCTGGGATGTGTGTATGTGTGTTCAGTAAGTGTATGTATGTGTCTGGGATGTGTGTGTGTGTATTCAGTAAGTGTATGTATGTGTCTGGGATAAGTGTGTGTGTATTCAGTAAGTGTATGTATGTGTCTGGGATAAGTGTGTGTGTGTGTGCAGTAAGTGTATGTATGTGTCTGGGATAAGTGTGTGCGTGTGTGTATTCAGTAAGTGTATGTATGTGTCTGGGATAAGTGTGTGTGTGTGTGTGCAGTAAGTGTATGTATGTGTCTGGGATAAGTGTGTGTGTGCAGTAAGTGTATGTGTCTGGGATGTGTGTGTGTGTGCAGTAAGTGTATGTTTGTGTCTGGGATGTGTGTGTGTGTTCAGTAAGTGTATATTTGTGTCTGGGATGTGTGTGTGTGTATTCAGTAAGTGTGTGGATGTGTCTGGGATAAGTGTGTGCGTGTGTGTATTCAGTAAGTGTGTGGATGTGTCTGGGATAAGTGTGTGTGTGTATGTGTGTGTGTGGGCAAATCAACCATGGCTTGTATTTTATTTGGGGGTTCTGCCTATGCTGCCTGAAGTACAGGCAGACACTAGACTTGGTGCACACACCTTTTGTCCCGGTATCTGGAGGCAGAGGCAGACAGATCTCTGAGTCTGAGGCCAGCCTTGCCTACAATAGTGAGTTCCAGGCCAGCCAGTTCTAAGTAGTGAAACCCTGTCTCAAATGAAATAAAATAGTGTATGGGGTGGGGGTGGGGAGAGAGAAAAAGGCAAATGGAAAAATCTGGACTTCAAAACAGAAACACTTGTGTGTCCCGAAGCTTCAGTAGCCTTGCCTTCAGCCACCACCTGGTGCCCGTCCCCTGCCTCTTCAGCCTCCCTCAGAGCCACACCTCAGGAGCGGGCAGCAGGAATCCCCTCCTCCCCCATCTGCTCCCCATTGACACGGCAGAACTCTCAATTGCCTGCTCATTAGTCACCACGATTTCTCCTTTGGAGCCCCTCCCCCTGCTCCTCTGCTTCCCCCGAGCCAGGGCACCAGGGTCTCAGCCTCCCACCAGGCCCTTGTCTGCAACAAACTGCTCTGTCATAACCTCATCAGACACGGAGGAACTGGAGTGAAGATGCATCGGAGGCCTCTGGAGTGTGTTTGAGGGCCCCTGACTGTGAGCAGCCCACTTTAGCGGTGGCTGCCCCCTCATAATATTAGCCCTGTTGAGTTCATAAAAGCCCCCTCTAGTGTTACAGCGTTTGGGAGACTATTAAGTTTTAAGGCTTTGGACCTCCGGGGAGGAGGCACCATGTCATAGGTGTGGCTGTCAGAGGGGACTGACTGACAGGGCCTGAGGAGGACTGCACAGGCCACGGGGCAGTGGGGAGGGTGGGGACCAGCTTTAGGGTCGGGGCCCCTCAAACATTACAATTCCATCACAGGGCAGGAAGGGGCTGCTCCCGAGAAGCATAGAGGTGCGGGGCTCTCTCGGCCTCTGGGCTTTGTGTATGAATGTGTGTAGCCGGGGTAGGGAGGCAAGGTCAAGCCAGGAGTTTCTTCTCAGGTGCCATTCACTTTGGTGGTTTGTTTGTTTCTTTGTTTTGAGACAGGATTTCTCTGTGGCTTTGGAGGTTGTCCTGGAACTCACTCTGTAGACCAGGCTGGTCTCGAACTCACAGAGATCCGTCTGCCTCTGCCTCCCGAGTGCTGGGATTAAAGTGAGCCACCACTGCCCGGCCTACTTTAGCTCATTGGTGTTTTGCCTGCACGTAAGTCTGTGTGAGGGGTTCAGATTCCCTAGAATTGGAGTGGACAGCTGTGAGCTGCCATGTGGGTGCTGGGAATCGAACCCAGGTCCTCTGAAAGAGCAGCCAGTGCTTTTAACCACTGAGCCATCTCTCTAGCTCCTCCTCTCCCTCTTTCCTTTTCTAAAAAGACTTGGTGGTATTTCCCTATGATCCCAGCACTGGGGAGGTGGAGAGCAGAGGATCCGTGCCGTTTGCTCTTCATCCAGTCTGGACAAATCGCTGAGCCCCAGCTTCAGTGAGGGACCCTGTTTCAAAAGCAAAGGTGGAGAGAGGCAGAGGGATTACCCAGCATCAACTCCTGGCCCCGGATGCATACACTGTGCATATGTTCACATATGTGTACGCATCCCTCTTTACATACATACAGAGAGAAACAGACAGAGAGCTGCTTTCCTGGCTATTCCTAGCAAGAAGTCCATGTTCTTACGGTCAGTCCCTCTGGGTCCCATCCTTCTCTGGACTGTGTGGAAACAGCTGGGGTGGGAGTGGGGACAGTCACTCTAAAGCTCTTAGCACATAGCTGCAGTATGGAGGGCTCCTTGCCTCTCAGCTACCATCATCCTTATGGGCTACAAGGCCTGGCTTCAGCCAGCTCAAGAGGACTGTCTCCCAGACGGCAGCCACCCAAAGGAGTCGGTGCCACCCAGAGTTGACCTGGAGGTGAGAGGAAGCTGCTGAGTGCTGCCCCACAAC